TACTTGTAAACTTTTCTTTTTGTGCGTAATTAAACACTACCAAACACAAACAATGATTTGTACTATCACCAGTCTGGTACTTGAGCTGGTAAGGTTTTCTGATACTTGATACTTTGTTGATGCCTCGTAATATTTTTTTTCACCTTTTCTCAATGGGCTTTATATTAATCAACTAAGAATTAATGTTTTAAGATATGAATGGCTTTGTAAACTTTGCATTCATTCATCAGAAATTAACAAGTTGGACAGTTCAACAATGACAATTTTTTATGAAATTGAACCCTCGATCCCCCAATTTAAAAAAAACAACCTGGAAACAATGAAACTGTTTTGCAGCAAAGTGACTTCCACTGGAATAAAGTATTAAGTTCTCCAATCAGCAAGAATGGACAAAATCACATGAATGAGATTACACTTAGCTGACCTGGCAAAGGGGCAAACGTCTTCACCAAGTAAAAGAATAACAAGTCACCTTTGGATTTGTCGTCCTTATCTTCATTGGGAATAGCATCCATAGTGATGGCCACATCTGTTGGCATCTTGACAACATCACCCTCCGTAACTGTGGTTGACGTTACCTCCCCAGTTGGGACATCATCAAAAGTTGCTCCCTGCTTCTCATCCATTTTGGTGTTATTACCTTGGACCAAAAACACTGGAAATATAAAGAAACTGCACATAAAGCAGTTGTATACTATTTGAAAGCCATGACCAGTGGGATATCTAGGGGGAGGGGTCGAAATTTGAAATCACAACACGCACCTGAAAATAGTATGGTAACCATATTGTGTATATGTGGTTACCATATGTATATGTGGTTACCATACCAGTTTCAGATGTGAGCTGTAAATGTCGCCACAACATGGCTGCGACGCGACGGTCTATCTGAAAAACCACCAAAATCATCATTTCCCCCCCATCTTTTAATCGGTGTAGTTCTGTTTCAAGCCGATCCTTTGCTCTGTGATGAGTTCTGCATTGTATTGGGTGAGTTTAATCTCAATTAGGTTTGGATAATGGGGGAAAAATACAATTTCAGTTGAGGCAATTTTTCATGGCCTCCGTCATTTTCTGACTGCTGGGGAAAAAATAGTTGGGGAAGAATTCCATACATATTGCATGGACATCACTAATATTTCCCCACAGTGACCTATCAGCCATCAGAAAGGGATAACAAGTTTAAAAGTCGAATTTAGCAGGACAAATATTGAAGTTTTTACTGAGAATACACTTCAAATTTATCAGACCAGTCTCATAGGGTTTGTGCACCGGGTGTCAAGTGATGTCCAGGTATGGAACTCTTTCCAATAGTTGTTCCCCCAGCTCTAGCTTGAGAAACTCTAGTCCAAAAATTTGGGACTCTCAATACTGTCTATGAGAGACCCAAAAATTAAGGTATTGAAAACTTGCCATACAAGATGGAGATGAGAAACTCCAGCTCCAATGCTCATCACGAATTTGACATGTAGAGCTGGAGGCACATCTAGTTTTTGTCCAGCAGTTGGAAAATGGCGGAGGCCATGAAATTTGGCCTTTACTAAACTTTACCTTTTCCCCTATTATCCAAACCCAGATGAGATCAAACTTACTTCACGCCATGCAGCAATCATTTACGAAGCAAATGGTCGACTTGAAACAGAACAATGCTTTGTACTAGCTTGAGTAACTCCAGCTCCAATGCTCATCAGGAATTCGACATATAGAGCTGCATGGAGCTATAAGTATGTTGTAGATTCTAAGATGCCCTGAAAAACAGGGCTCTCTGTATCTGTATCACAATCTGGGTTGGGATTAATAGAGGGGAAAGGGACCATTTTTGTGATACAGACCTATACAGAGAGTCCCGTTTTAGGGCCTCTTAGAATCTAGTATCAATTTCAAACACATGAATTTCCTCTTCATGACAGAAATGAAAAATAATATAAGTATTAAAATATAAAGGTCTCTTGAGGTGGCAAAACCTTGAAAGCATAAGATTCCCATGTTCCCATATATTCCTGTGTCTGCACAACACAGTTTTAGCGCTATATATCGAATTCCTGATGAGCATTGGAGCTGGAGTTACTCAAACTAGCTTTATTAAACTAAAATTATGAAGAAAGAAAAAGAAGAAAAAAATGATTTCAATGGCTTTTCCGAGGCCATTTTTTACAGCCTCTGCCATATTTTGGCTGCTGGACAAAAATCAGATGTGTGCCTCCAGCTTTAGTCCGAGTAACTTGAACCCAACTTATCGCCCTTTTAACATTCGGACATGGTCTGGTGACCTACTTGTTAGACCATGTCTGAATGTTGAAAAAGCGATAAGTTACTTGGACTACCACCAGCTCATATCATGCTGAATTCCCGATGAGCATTGGAGCTGGGGTTGGAAAGATTCCCGTATCTGGCCATCGCTTTTCACCCTGAGCACAAACCGTATGAGACTGGTCTGAAAATGTCTGTGTTTTCTCAATTTCAAATACAGGCCTACTTCAACATTTCCCTGCTAAATCTGACTTTTTAGGACACAGGCCTATTAACACTTTCTGATGGCTGATAGGTCACTGAAGGGAAAAATTAGGGCAATCGTGTAGTGTAGGGCCCCTGTTTTGTTTTTATCAAATTAGAATCAAGAATGTTTTTTATTTCTAAAAAATGACATTGTCAACTTAAACAGACTTCTCTCAATGTTTTGACACATTTTGGGCAATTTTTGAACAGTTTCTTGGGGTAGAAATTACGATTGTCCTAGCGGTTTACAGGCCAGTTGGTGTCGTGCAGCGCGACTTGTGTGCTCATTATACACATGGTCCATCGCGCGGTGATCGCCATCTTTATTTTCGTGTTGCGTTTTGTCGTTGTCGTCGTCATTTTACCCCAAAATTTTCTTCATATTAAAAACACTGCCCTTTATCTATGACATACCTATGTGGGTAATCCTTACATTTAGGACCCATTCCTATATTTGAAAGACTCATCAAAACAGCCGACTAAATGACACTAAAAAGTGACATTCTGATATTTCTTGACACATCTAAACAGGTGGTAATGACACCTTCTTTATTATCAAAACTTTAATTTTGTGGAAAGAGGGCAGGGCTTTGATTTATGAGGGAAATTAAGGGGTAGAACTAAAAGACAACGACAACCAGAAAACAGACTCAAAAACCAAGATGGCAAATGTGAAAGCTAGATGCAAGGTAAAAGCTCACTGCTGATTGGCTGATAAAAAAAAAATTTTACTTATTTTCTTTTTAGCAGCCAATCAGCATTGGGCTTTCATTGTGTTGGGCTTTCACTCGTGTTGTGAGAAATACAATGGGCACATCTCACGTTTTACTCCTAGAACTATGAGGCTCCACGTAGATGAAGAACCCCGCAAAATTGTTTGCAGCACAAAACACTAATTAAGTACAAAAACGTCCATCAAAATGCAGACATTTCCCACAGAACCACTGCACAGTTTGCCCCTAAACTCTGTACTATACCTCATGAAATACTCACGTAATATACGCAGAACAAACATCGCTGGATTTTGTCGTTTTTTTGGCTAAAATGATGAAAAATATGCCCTTTCCGCACTGAGCCAACCTGACACTTGAAACGTGCACGCATATGATCCAGCGATGATTTTTCGGTTCGCTCGGAGCGTGCCGCAGGGGGTACGGTACTTGCACTTGTACGCATGCGCATACTATCATTTCTTTTGCAACCGAAAATCATCGCTGGATCATATGCGTGCACGTTTCAGGTGTCAGGTTTAGCCAAAAAACGACAAAATCCAGAGATGTTTGTTCTGCGCATATTACGTGAGTATGTCATGAGGTATAGTACGGAGTATAGGGGCAAACTGTGCAGCGGTTCTGTGGGAAATGTCTGCATTTTGATGGACGTTTTTGTACTTAATTAGTGCCTAGGAGTACTCACGTCTGACTGCAAAAAACGGTAGGAAAGTCACATTTTCTTTGAAAGTGTTTCAAAATTTCAAACATGAGTTTATTGGAGGGAAAAATGCTGCTTTAGCCTGCAAAAGTCACTTTGGTAATGGACAGTCATCTGCAAAAGTCAGTTTTGAACAGAACTCGTAAAAAATAGAAGTGTCCTAAAGATAAGGATTACCCCTATATTACTTCTGAAATCAGAAGGCTTCTCTGACGGAGAGAAGCCTTCTGATTTCAGAAATACCCCTATATATATGTTCTCAAAGTCTATGGGCACGATGGGCCATGACAGAACACGTATTATCAAAGAATTTTTGCTCTCCTTAAAACAGTGTTTCTTCATCAGATTTACAACTTTTGGCAATGTTTGGTACTTTTCAGGTCATATTAAGGAATATGAGTGGTACCCCAGTATGGACTTTTTTCCAGCATCTCAAACTCTTCACGAACACACATGACGAATTAGATACAATGATGATACAACGCTATTATCAATAGCGTTGTAAACGCAGTGCCAGTGCGTCTACGGGAGTGCGGCCATGACGGCTACTTCTGCACGACGTTTCACTAAATAAAATAATGCAGATTTCACCAATAGCTATTAAAACAACCAAATTAATGTTACCTTTAATCAAAACAAACTTGTAGTACTGATACTGACGTAATAAGAAAGTTTTCAGCCACTCGGAAGAATACGGGTAGCGCCAGATTTTCAAGCATGTGTCAAGAGTCGCGTGTTTATGTTGTTGAATGCTGCCCTCATGTGTCCCTCACATGCAAGCTGTTTCGAAACCTCGGCCTTCGTCGCAGGTTCGCAGCTTCATCATTGAATGGCATCCTTCTTTTTTTAACGAGATGCCTGCGTCTCCCGTAACGGAAGCCCAATAATACCTATTTGTCTTTTCTTATTTGACACCCCACGCTTTCTGAGTAGCTGTGTGGAAATTACATGATTCTTCTTCTTCAAATTGGTTTAATAGAACAAGCCGCACTGGGAATGAATCGAATTTTGGAAAACCCTTTAAACCCACATTTTTTCTTCTTTTTTTCTGGAGGGCGCTGTTTACGCTGAACACTCCCTTGATATTTTCCCCCAGAATTTATTTATGTGATTATTCAAGGCAAAGGAGTTGTTGAATATGGCTATTCATGTGGTAGGTACCCAAGATATTCTGGAAAATTATTTATATTTTTAAGTTGGACACCTCGTCGTAAGACTTTTTTAAACAAAAAGCAAAATGTGAAATCGCCCAGTTTCCGGACACTTCACAATATTGAAAAAAAAAACAGAATGGCTAGTGCTAGTAGGACTTTTTCGGAAAGATTCCCATATCTGGCCATCAATAATGTTTTCCTTCAGCGAACTATCAGCCATCAGAAAGTATGTCAAATTTAGCAGGGAATTTATTGCGGTATTTACTGAGAAAACACTTAGAAATTTTCAGACCAGTCTCATTGTAGTTTGTACACAGGATGACAAGTGATAGCCAGATGTGGGAATATTTCCGAAAAAGAATATGCTTAGGGTCCTGCTTTTTGAAAAAAAAGGAAGCGGGAGACCCTTTTTTTTTTTTTTGTCCTCCCCAATGGTCGCCCGACCGGGCTATTTTTCAAGATGGCTGCCATTTTTTTTTTAAATGGCCACCATTGGACTCGGCAAATTACATACCAGCTTTATATTGAAATGTGTTTATAGCTCCATGATGCAACAGATACAATGTAAGAGGCTAAACTGATGTCACTATTGAAAATTTAAAAAAAAGTTTGGTTTAAAACAAAAGAACCTAAGGAGGCAGCCTCCAAAAAGGAAGCAGGCGGGGACGCTAGACATGTTTTTGTTTTTTATTTGGCCTAATTTGTTTCCCCCTCTCCACTTTGAAAACTTCTGTGAAGATTTAATTGGTGTTGCCGTTTCATACATTTACATTTTTTTTTTTTACATCACACATGTAAACTTGACGGTTGTCTCATTTTATTTTGCAACTGTAGGCGCATCCATCAGTGCGAATGAAAGGCGCTGAGGCAGACTGGACGCCCATACAATGCACAGACAGGGAGTGTAGCCACTCCTTGATGAAGGCTCCGCATCTGCACTGTCCATTCTGCTCCCAGGACAGTCTCTTCACTGATGAGATTCTCCTCAAGGCGCACTACAGGGTCAAGCACGTGAATAAAGGCATCAACTTTGGGGGTGAGTTTGCATTTGGGAACAAGACCAAGCTCTCGCATACTTGTGACTGGATCCCAAGAAATCAGTTTTATAGGTTAAGGACAATGTTTTCGCTTTCTCTTCATGAGTCATGCTACAAGATGACTTGTGGTCTGTGTTTGTGAAAAGGTTTGTGAGTTGAATTAAGATAAGTTGAAGGTAGTGGACAGCAGGACAAGGTAGTGGCATTTGTGGGAGTTTTATGAAATTGACAGATACCTGGGCTGGTTATTCTTAGCAGATATCAGTGTTCGATAAACTCAGTTGTCACAGGCCATGCCCAAACGCAGACTGTGTCTTGGGAAAAGCTTTGCATCCCTGCCTGAACAAGAGTCCTAACTCAGGTTAATAGCTTACTTGTGCCTGTTACAGCAAGAGAACCATATAAAAAGATCCATAGTTCATGTTTTGTCAAAGTGCATATGGCTGTCAGCTGTTGTCATAATTGTCAAACCAATCTTCTACTGTATCCCTCCCCAGGTCTTAAAATATTGCGGTGTTGTAGATCCTGCATCGTCCACGGCATCATTCACGGCCTACGTCCCCTGCTGGGATGGCGAGTGTGAAAATCTACGTTGCACCCATGAAGAAGCAACGACCAACGAAGACAGGGATAAAGCAGCCAATGATCTTTTCGGTATGCTCTATGAGAAATGAAGGCAGAGATGGACAGAGACTGTGGAATAGATGGATTTCACCCATTCCAGCTGTCGGGCATGGCAAACCATCAACAACTCACGGGTAGGTCCACAACCCCAACACAATGTCCAATTACTGCAAATTCCATCGTGTATCAGCTGTTGAGCAACAGTCGCTTCCCCAACATGAACAAGAACTTTACTAGAATCACGTCGGCGAGAGTCAAGGAGCTGCGCCATGCGCAGGGGTGTGATCCCAACCTTTCTGGTGACTTCACGGCACACAAACTCCAGTTGGCCATCCAACGGCTAGAGACCGGCAAGGCTCCAGGCTGTTTGCCATGCACGCCCACAAGCTGCTCACGACATCGGCAGATGTCTCTAAGGCCGCCTGGGTAAAACCAGCTGGAGAGTCTGGTGGACCTCAGCAGAACCATCTACCTAGGCTACACCGCTTCATAAACGACCCTAAGGATGTGTGCGGTCAAGACCTCCCACGAAAGCAGTGGACGACCCTCAACCATCTGAGGACTGGAGTCGGACGCTATGGTACTTCCATGAAAAGCTGGGGATTGGCAGACAGCACTTCCTGCGACTGCACAGAACCAATCCAGACAGTAGACCACATCATCTCCACCTGCCCAAAACACCGGCCGCCTGATCAACCTGGAGGATGACACACTGGCCTGGCTCACCTCGACAGAGCTGCAAGTCTAAGGACATACATGTACAACAGAAGAAGAAGACCTAAATTAACAACGCAATCTCCAGGTGCGTCTTGCACGACATCACGCAGTACGTGCGAACGCGAGCACCAATCTCCATAAAAGGAGTTGTGTACATCTTACTCGCGAGCTAGACACTCCATTATTTAGCTATAGAGGGGTGTTTAAAAAACATGAAGTGAACTTGTTGAACAAAATCGAGGTTTTTTGACCAAAAAGTTTTGATTTCTTTTACCGAAAAAGTATTTATGAATGGGAATAAATATGTGCTTGGTCGGTATTAATCACTCTGTTTAAAAACTGGTTGGAGTCTGGGTGCTGATAATTACCCTCGCCTACGGCTCGGATTAAAACCGACCAAGCACACATTTATTCCTTTTAAACTGCATCAACAGTAATAAGCTGATCAATGTTTGCACATGTGGTTAAACTACCATGGTTCACTCAGAAAATGTTGTAAATTCCTGATGCTTGAATTCCTAAACTCATTGGACTTATTTATAGCTTTAACCATAACAGAACTCAACCCATCAAACCCCAACGACATGTTTTGTTGGAATCTGTCAGGATGGGTACAGTACCCCTAAACTGATAGTCTTTTTCATTGGGTTGGCACACCTCCAGAATCAAAGTCAGAAATATGTGTGTGCGCAGTTTCCCATATGGTGTTGGAATTTGCCAGAATGGGTATGGTTCCTAGTAAATCATGCTAGGGATTTAGGGTCAAAAGACTCTCTGAAATAAATTTCACAATCAAACATTTGACTCAAGTATTCATTCTTTTGAGAATGATTAGACACACCTTTTTGGCTTAAAATGTTTGAAAATGCACTTATTTTTAACCTTCACAGTTTCAGTGCTGCTTCAAGATAACTGAGTATGCCATTGCTGTAATGTAATGGTCCCCTTGAATCTGCATGAAAAAAAAACATGAAATAAATGTAATCAGTTGAAATTTATGTACTTTGTGAGCAGGTATGGTAGTTCTACAAGGATGTGGGTGGATTATATCAAATGCCAACACTCCGTGCCTTTTAAAATAATTAATTGTGAACCTAATTTTATCACTGTACGTTTGTGTCGTAAATGGAATCTTTTGCAACCGTGCAGGTTTTAGTCTCATTTTATCAACCTTAACGACTTCACTCCACCATTTTTACCCAGGATGTCAACCAGATCTTCACCACATACACCGACCCAGCACCCAACAGTGCCAGCCTGGTAACACACCTCATAGTCCCCCAGTCACAGCAGCCATCGGAGACGGACACATCATCCCCGAGCTATGAGCAGACTGACGGGCAGCAGCCGCAGATCGAGTACCAGTACGCCTGCATCAATGATCCCAGCCAGAGCACTGCCAATGGGGAAGATAAGATGGTAAGAATATTAACCCTGACCCTCCAAGAATCCTGCAGCATCTACCCAGAGGTTAGGGAGGATAATGCCACCAGCAGTGAAGGATAATTAGAAAAAGCTGACTAAAAGCCAAGAAGGAGGCATTTGATACAAGGAAGAACTCTTCCCCCAACCCCCACCCAACACCCCCTCCACTTTGTTTTCAATTGATATATCGTGAATCCATATGGAAGAAGGGAATGGGTAGACAACAGCATGTTTAATACAGTTGTCTTCACTCCTGCACTTGTTTGGTCAATAAAATGAATAAAACAACAACCCAAAATTCAGCAATTTTTTTTTAGGGGGTTGGGGTGGGTGAGGGCCGATATTGATTTTACAAATTGAAATTACGAGGTGCAAAGGGTGCACCACTGGTGTTGTGTAAGTTGATTGAATTTTGGAAGATTCGAGAAGGTTCTAAGCAAAAAAATATAATAAGTCGGGGTGGCAATAAATTTTGAAAGCGGACTTTAACAGTCAATTTAACATTGCAATTTGTCCTTCACCTTGCCCACCTCATGTTAGGAATAAGGTTTGAAAAAGTGAGTGATTGCTTGCACCCAGTTACAAGGAATTACATGTTCTTGACACGCAGTGCATCACTGGGGACTTCCTTGCCTGTATCCTGTTTTTACCGCTACAGATTATGTGTCCCATTGAAGCGCAACATACATGTCGACATTTCTACTCCATTTACTCCTGTCTTTCCCCTCTGTGTAGCCCTCACCCGGAGTGGCCTGAGGGACTTTCTATAATACAGGAATTAGTATCCAGGATAATTACTCAACCTTTCCCTCGACCATTCTGTCCTCTCGTAAACAGTTGTTCTTATTGAGATACCAGACGAAGGAAGCAAAGGGGATTTGGAGGACGAGACTTGCTACACAGAGCACAACTTGTCGCAGCTGCTGCAGGAGAAGGAACGTCTGGAGAAGACTCTTGAGGAGGAGCGGACCACGTGGGCCCAGACAGAGCACAGGATGAAAGGCAATATAGAAAGGCTTTGTACAAAGGTAAGCGGGCATTCCATCTGGTCTTGGTCTAAGAATGAGTTTGGATTTTGTTCCCTGAATGCAACATGTAGCAAGGGCGTCAATCGCTTCTCAATAACTGGGTGGGTGGGGGACATAACTTGATCAGAACGAATGCAAGCGAGAGAGGCTTTGTGGTGCAATCTGAGGCAAGTTCTGACCCTTATTTTTCAGCAAAAGATTATGAGTTAAACATCATTCTATGTTGGCGTTATTGAATCAGCTGTTCTGAGCTATCGAATCAAATATAGGCTACAATTTTTATTCGCGGTCAAAAAAGGGGGGGAGACAAACGCTATGATATCCCCCCCCCCCCACTTTCAAACAAAAAGGGGGGCATGTTCCCCCCTCCCATGGCGACACCCCTGACAGGTACACTCACCTGACAAGTGTGGTCAAGCCACTGCCATACCAGAGGACGCTGTCAAAAAAACTTGGAATCAAATCCAGTAAACTTGAATCAAATCCAGTATTTGGAACTTTGTTACCTGGACTTGGAAATTCCCCAATATACCTAACTTGCATGCAAGACATACACTTGGAATTCCTGGGTTTGGATGCCAAACTTCCCAATATTTGACTTGATTTACCTGTTGACAGTGCCCTATAGCACCTCAATGGCTTCAACTTGAATGGCAGGGATCAGGACCAGCTGAAACAATGGAAAGAATCTGAGTCCAGTCTTGAACCAAGACAAACATCCATCTTGTTGCATTCATACATGTACTCTAGTTGCATTCATAATTGGGCAACAACACATGTGTGTCCTTAGGCTTTCATGCTCCAACTGCACACATCATAATGAAACTGCATCAATGTCGGACGTTTAGTTGCGCTGTCATGGTTGTGATTGGTTACACATCATGGGACAGAGCCTGATGGATTGGTCTATTAAAATTCCATCTGTAAACAAATAATTTCTCTGCCCATCCTTCTTGCCCTCCAGGTTGAGTATTTGTCCAACACAAACACGTCACTCAAGCAGCAGCTGTCCATGATGCACACGTCCAGTTTGAAACGTCTGACCAACGACAGCGAGAACCAGTCCATTTTGCAAGAGTTACTGCAACACATGTCTGAGGAGCACACCCAGCTGCTGCACCACCATCTAGCATCGCTGCGGCTGTACGCTCAGGCCTGCGCATTATCCAAACCAACCCCCGAGGAATCTGCAGCTGAATCTGCAGTCTTGGTACCAGACCTGACCGACCAATCACAGGACATCTCACACATGGCCATGATGTCGTCCTCGGAGGGCACCCTTGGGAACATGGAGCAGACAGTCGTCATGACGATAACGTCTGAGGAGGATTCGGAGCCGCTCGGCAACATCGTGGATAACCCCGGAGATAATGTGGGACATGACTCCTTGACTTTGGATAAGGACGTTCACTTGTCACCAAATACATTCTGTACCAACTGACAAGCAAGGGACTGTCACCAAGACATGCCACCTCTGAGTCAGGTCTCGTTTATCAATCAGGTAGAACTCATCCACATCACAACACACCCTGTGATGTCACGCCACAGGATTTTCACAAGAACAAAAGTTTGAAATTGATCTTTCCAGCAGCACGCCAAAAATATTCTGCCCCGACGGCTTCGACAAGAGAACGTTTGAAGACGACATGTCAAATGAGAGACCACCATTAAAACGTGGGAGAACTAACAGCCTGAAAGCCACTTAGCTAAATAAAACCTGACATATTTTGTAAACAGTGTACACCCAGTGTTGTCTTAGGGCTCAGTTGGGGGGGGGGGGGACTTGAACTAATGAGTTGAGTCTTCATGGAAGTTTGTCTGACCTGAATGAAAAATTTTACCAAAGAAACTGGCCTTGGTCTCTCCTATCTTTTCGAGTTCTTGATGGGCATTCCCGAATCCGCTCAGTGAATGTGTGTCATTGTAGGCTCAACCAGATCCACGTAGGTCCTCAAACACTTTATATCTATTACTGAAACATAAACAATGCAATTATGATTAACATTGAAACATTCGGTCGTCTGTATAAAAACTAGCATTTGCTTTTTTTTTACCACGTATTTTTCAGCATAACTTTTATTTGCATAAATAAAAATGAGAGCAAATGCTTTCACTATTTGCTTCAAGTTCAGATTTAGGGTCATCAGTCCGTATTACTTTATTAAGCACAACTTCACACTATTTTGTGGTTACAAAATTAACTAAAGTTTCGATAGACCTAAAAAGTAATACAATTTTGAAATATAAAATTCCCAGCGTGGGAATGAACCTGCAACCTTTAGATTTAGAGTCAGCAGTCTGAACCACTGCACTAAGACTAATTTCACACTTTTTGTGGTTACGAAATTAACTATAAAGTTTCAATTTACCCAAAAAGAAATAAAATTTTAAAATGTAAAATTCCCCCCCTGGATTTGAACCCGCAACCTTCAGATTTAGAGTCAGCAGTCCGTACCATTGGACTAAGCATAATTTCACACTTTTTAGTGGTTACAAAATTAACTATAAAGTTTCAATTTACCCCAAAAGAAATAAAATTTTAAAATTTAAAATTCCCGCCCTGGATTTGAACCCACAACCTTCAGATTTAGAGTCAACAGTCTGAACCACTGCACTTAAGCATGATTTCATGCTTTTTGTGGTTACGAAATTGACTATAAAGTTTCAATTTACCCAAAAATAAATAAAATATTAAAATGTAAAATTCCCACCCTGGATTTGAACCCGCAACCTTCAGATTTAGAGTTTGCAGTCCGTAACATTGGACTAAGCATAATTTCACACTTTTTAGTGGTTACAAAATTAACTATAAAGTTTCAATTTACCCCAAAAGAAATAAAATTTTAAAATTTAAAATTCCCACCCTGGATTTGAACCCACAACCTTCAGATTTAGAGTCAACGGTCTGAACCACTGCACTAAGCATGGTTACGAAATTAACTATAAAGTTTCAATTTACCCCCAAAGAAATAAAATTTTAAAATATAAAATTCCCACCCTGGATATGAACCCGCAACCTCCAGATTTAGAGTTGGCAGTCCGTACCATTGGACCAAGCATAATTTCACACTTTTTAGTGGTTACAAAATTAACAATAAAGTTTCAATTTACCCCAAAAGAAATAACATTTTAAAATTTAAAATTCCCACCCTGGATTTGAACCGACAACCTTCAGTTTTAGAGTCAACAGTCTGAACCACTGCACTAAGCATGATTTCATGCTTTTTGTGGTTACGAAATTAACTATAAAGTTTCAATTTACCCCAAAAGAAATAAAATTTTAAAATATAAAATTCCAACCCTGGATTTGAACCCGCACCCTCCAGATTTAAAGTCAGCAGTCCGTACCATTGGACTAAGCATAATTTCACACTTTTGAGTGGTTACGAAATTGACTATAAAGTTTCAATTTACCCAAACAGAAATAAAATGTTAAAATTTAAAATTCCCACCCTGGATTTGAACCGACAACCTTCAGTTTTAGAGTCAACAGTCTGACCCACTGCACTAAGCATGATTTCATGCTTTTTGTGGTTACGAAATTAACTATAAAGTTTCAATTTACCCCAAAAGAAATAAAATGTTAAGTATAAAATTCCCACCCTGGATTTGAACCCACAACCTCCAGATTTAAAGTCAACAGTCTGAACCACTGCACTAAGCATGATTTCATGCTTTTTGTGGTTACGAAAATTAACTATAAAGTTTCAATTTACCCAAAAAGAAATAAAATGTTAAAATGTAAAATTCCCACCCTGGATTTGAACCCACAACCTTCAGATTAAGAGTCAGCAGTCTGAACCAATGCACTAAGCATAATTTCACATTTTTAGTGGTTACGAAATTTACTATAAAGTTTCAATTGACCCCAAAAGAAATAAAATTTTTAAAATGTTAAATTCCCACCCTGGAATTGAACCCACAACCTTCAGATTGAGAGTCAGCAGTCCATACCATTGGACTAAGCATAATTTCACACTTTTGAGTGGTTACGAAATTGACTATGAAGTTTCAATTTACCCAAAAAGAAATAATATTTTTAAAATGTTAAATTCCCACCCTGGAATTGAACCCGCAACCTCCAGATTTAGAGTCAGCAGTCCATACCATTGGACTAAGCATAATTTCACACTTTTGAGTGGTTACGAAATTGACAACGAAGTTTCAATTTACCCAAAAAGAAATAATATTTTTAAAATATAAAATTCCCACCCTGGATTTGAACCCGCAACCTCCAGATTTAGAGTTGGCAGTCCGTAACATTGGACTTAGCATAATTTCACACTTTTTAGTGGTTACAAAATTAACTATAAAGTTTCAATTTACCCCAAAAGAAATAAAATTTTAAAATTTAAAATTCCCACCCTGGATTTGAACCGACAACCTTCAGTTTTAGAGTCAACAGTCTGAACCACTGCACTAAGCATGATTTCATGCTTTTTGTGGTTACGAAATTAACTATAAAGTTTCAATTTACCCCAAAAGAAATACAATTTTCAAATGTTAAATTCCCACCCTGGAATTGAACCCGCAACCTCCAGATTTACAGTCGGCAGTCCGTACAATTGGACTAAGCATAATTTCACACTTTTGAGTGGTTACGAAATTGACTATAAAGTTTCAATTTACCCAAAAAGAAATAAAATGTTAAAATGTAAAATTCCCACCCTGGATTTGAACCCGCAACCTTCAGATTTAGAGTCAGCAGTCCGTACCATTGGACTAAGCATAATTTCACACTTTTTAGTGGTTACAAAATTAACTATAAAGTTTCAATTTACCCCAAAAGAAATAAAATTTTAAAATTTAAAATTCCCACCCTGGATTTGAACCGACAACCTTCAGTTTTAGAGTCAACAGTCTGAACCACTGCACTAAGCATGATTTCATGCTTTTTGTGGTTACGAAATTAACTATAAAGTTTCAATTTACCCCAAAAGAAATAAAATTTTAAAATTTAAAATTCCCACCCTGGATTTGAATCCACAACCTTCAGATTTAGAGTCAACAGTCTGAACCACTGCACTAAGCATGATTTCATGCTTTTTGTGGTTACGAAAATTAACTATAAAGTTTCAATTTACCCAAAAAGAAATAAAATTTTAAAATATAAAATTCCCACCCTGGATTTGAACCCGCAACCTCCAGATTTAGAGTTGGCAGTCCGTAACATTGGACTAAGCATAATTTCACACTTTTTAGTGGTTACAAAATTAAGTATAAAGTTTCAATTTACCCCAAAAGAAATAAAATTTTAAAATTTAAAATTCCCACCCCGGATTTGAACCGACAACCTTCAGTTTTAGAGTCAACAGTCTGAACCACTGCACTAAGCATGATTTCATGCTTTATGTGGTTACGAAATTAACTATAAAGTTTCAATTTACCCCAAAAGAAATAAAATTTTCAAATATAAAATTCCAACCCTGGATTTTAACCCGCAACCTCCAGATTTAGAGTTTGCAGTCCGTACCATTGGACTAAGCATAATTACACACTTTTGAGTGGTTATGAAATTAACTATAAAGTTTCAATTTACCCCAAAAGAAATAAAATTTTCAAATATAAAATTCCAACCCTGGATTTGAACCCGCAACCTCCAGATTGAGAGTTTGCAGTCCGTACCATTGGACTAAGCATAATTTCACACTTTTTAGTGGTTACGAAATTAAGTATAAAGTTTCAATTTACCCCAAAAGAAATAAAATTTTAAAATATAAAATTCCCACCCTGGATTTGAACCCGCAACCTCCAGATTTAAAGTCGACAGTCCGTACCATTGGACTAAGCATAATTTCACACTTTTGAGTGGTTACGAAATTGACTATAAAGTTTCAATTTACCCAAAAAGAAATAATATTTTTAAAATTTAAAATTCCCACCCTGGATTTGAACCCGCAACCTCCAGATTTAGAGTCAGCAGTCCATACCATTGGACTAAGCATAATTTCACACTTTTGAGTGGTTACGAAATTGACTATGAAGTTTCAAAATTTCACACTTTTTACTGGTTACAAAATTAACTATAAAGTTTCAATTTACACCAAAAGAAATAAAATTTTAAAATTTAAAATTCCCACCCTGGATTTGAACCCACAACCTTCAGATTTAGAGTCAACAGTCTGAACCAATGCACTAAGCATGATTTCATGCTTTTTGTGGTTACGAAAATTAACTATAAAGTTTCAATTTACCCCAAAAGTTTTAGAGTCAACAGTCTGAACCACTGCACTAAGCATGATTTCATGCTTTTTAGTGGTTACAAAATTAACTATAAAGTTTCAATTTACCCCAAAAGAAATAACATTTTAAAATTTAAAATTCCCACCCTGGATTTGAACCGACAACCTTCAGTTTTAGAGTCAACAGTCTGAACCACTGCACTAAGCATGATTTCATGCTTTTTGTGGTTACGAAATTAACTATAAAGTTTCAATTTACCCCAAAAGAAATAAAATTTTCAAATATAAAATTCCAACCCTGCATTTGAACCCACAACCTCCAGATTGAGAGTTTGCTGTCCGTACCATTGGACTAAGCATAATTTCACACTTTTTAGTGGTTACGAAATTAAGTATAAAGTTTCAATTTACCCCAAAAGAAATAAAATTTTAAAATATAAAATTCCCACCCTGGATTTGAACCCGCAACCTCCAGATTTAAAGTCGACAGTCCGTACCATTGGACTAAGCATAATTTCACACTTTTGAGTGGTTACGAAATTGACTATAAAGTTTCAATTTACCCAAAAAGAAATAAAATGTTAAAATGTAAAATTCCCACCCTGG